ATCTATCGAAAGCCTTTTTGATATCAAAATACAACACGATTACTAGTTGCTTTTGATCGCGTATGCTGGTAACCTCATTAAAGAAATCTAAAAGACATGTGGTGCATGACCTAGTTCTAATGAAGCCATGTTGAGAGGGGTCAATGTGACCTTCCCTGAGTAAGTGATCAGATAGTTGATCTTTTATCACTTTCTCCATCACACGTGATACAACAGGAGTGATATTAATCGGTCTGTAGTTTTGGACTAAGTCTTTCGGTCCAGATTTATGTACTGGGACAATATGAGTCAACTTCCACGATTCGGGGTATGTCCCAGACTCAAGGGATAAGGTAAAAATTTTAAGCAACAGCGCTGAAAGGTTCGGTCCTGCCATTTTAAAAAGTATGGAAGGTATCTCATCCGCACCACAGCTGCCATTGGGTTTAAGGGTTTTAATGGCGGCTTGAATATTATTAAGATCAAATTTGATGGTACAAAGATTATGCATGCTGCTTCAGTTAGTGTTAGTATCAGGGGTAGGAGATGTGTTCAGATTGAGGGAGAACCATGTACTAAACAGTTCGCAAATAACAGCTTCGTCATAATAAGTCTGTCCATCATGTAGTATATAATGAATTTTTCGATCTGAGTCCTTTTTCATGCGTTTGTTAAGCAAACGACAGAGGTTTTGGGACTTACACTCAGTTGCGAGAGCATTATTTTCTTCGATTTGCCTACGCACTTCATGTTGATGTTTAACACCGTCAAGTAAAGCGTAAATTTGGTACAGGATGCTGAAGTCCTTAGATTTGCAATACGCCCGTTTTAGTTGCCGTAGTTTAGCCCTAGCTTTGTAGGTGATATAAGGAGTAACTGTTTTGAAAGACGTTTTGAGTGGGATAGTCGTGTCTAGAGCAGATTTTATGGTGACGTTGAATATATGTAATGCATCAGAAAGTTCAAGACAAGAAAAAAACTCAGTCCAGTCGGAGTGCTGAATTAGAAACCGAAAGCTGTCCCAGTCAGCATGTTTATAGTCTCTGTATTGAAAACGGTTTACTGTTTTAGATTTGTCACATTTAGCAAAAAACGGAAGGGTGCAGAGGACAATTTTATGGTCACTGTTGTGAAACGTTTCGCAGACAGACACAGATGTCGGGGTGACATCGTGACAAAATACCAAATCGAGGATGTTTTGGTTCCTAGTAGGCAGGTGCACATGTTGTTGCCAACCGTGTGTGTCTAGGGGACCAAGTAAGCTATCAAATCGTAGTGGGCCGGAATGTGTCCGCCAGTTGATTCCAGGGAGGTTGAAGTCACCACAAATAATTTTGCAGGTGAATTTAAGACAGGCAGCCCTGGCAAACGACTCACCGATAGCAACGTCCTTTATCTGTGTGTTATATTCTTATATTCCCATAATTTACTTTATTTTAAGTGGTCAGTATGAATTTTATGTTGGCTTACTACTGTATTGACTACTTCAACATGACAGGTTAAGTAGTGCTTTGGTTATATATATACACTTGCCACACTGCTGCCTTTTTCTCTCTCTCTTCTCCTTTTCATAACCCCATTCACGGTGGGAAATCGTTGGCGACTCTAGGGAACATGCACCCTAGGTACATGACTGTTTGGATCACAGGTCGTATCAAGCGCGTTCCATATGACCTTTCCCAACAAATTCACTAGTGATCTCGGCAAATCGCTAAAAGAACCTATCGTGCACCTTCCTTCCTTATTTGTACTCTACTATTGAAAATGTTGCTGTATAATACTGTTTCTGTTAGTGACATGGTGTAAATATGCAATCAGAAACTGTCTCTTATACTTAATTTAACTGCTATAACTTTACAGTAATTGTGAAAGCATTTGTGACAATTTGATCTAGCCTGTAAACTGGCGTGACTCTTGTAACGTAGTTATTTGAGAATAAATATATTATTATTATTATAACAGAGATCCACTGCTTCTGATGGCGCTTCTTGCGACCAAGGACTTTTCTGGTTAGCGTATTTTTGACAAGTTGGATTTCGACGGAATGGGGTCGTCAACCCTATGTCCAACCCTCCTCCTTTATCCGGGCTTGGGACCGGCAGTAGGCCCTAAGGTTCTACTGGCGGAGTTTCTACATACAATATGTGAACAATTTATAGTTTAAGTATCTTTGAGTGTTAATTCAAGGTTTTCAAACACCGTGGAACGAATATTTGTCCGATTTAGAGTTAAAAATAGCGTCCATGATAATTAAAAACTATTAGGGGCATAACTTTACTAAAAGAAGTAAAATATTTCACACGACAATTGCAGAAACAAACCAAAGACCTAATTAAAGTAAATTAAACGTCCTTACAGTGCATATTATGCCTAAGGAAGAACCAGATTAAGAGCGAGTCTTTCCGTCTCACAAATGTTTGGGAGTTAGTTCATTTAATGTTCATTGCTGAAGTGGACCAGCTTGAAAATCAAGTAAGCCATCGCCCGGAGCTTCGACTTTTACAATAATTTCAAGAGACTGAATCTCCCATTCGTAAAATGCCACAAAAATATCCGTCATAAACTGGCCATCAGTTCTACATCATGCATTTCAAAATGGTTAGTTTATTGCCAAAAACGTGTCGATTATAAATGGAGGTTGAACGATCAAATCTTATTGAAATTGTTTGCCTCGACAAGGTTATGATAATCTGAAAAAGTTAAGATGATCACATTTATGGCAACAAAATCTATTTTATCCAACACATTCCGTTTTTTACAAACGTAACCAATAAAACTAATCCTGCAGTTAAAGATACAATGTCCAACCACTTAGTTTTGTTTGAGTGTATCGTTAAGTGCCATTTCGAGGGCTTAGTTGGTTGTCGGGGTTCGTTTATTTCGAAGAATGGCAACGAAGAAGGTGTTCTTTGATATTAAGGAGGGGGCCAACGCTGCCGAAAGGATCGTTTTTGAGGTAAGTTAAGTGTAGGCACAGCATAGTTTCCAGCTCTTTGCAGATAAAGTCCCAAAAACTGCTGAGAATTTCCGAGCATTGTGCACCATGGAGAAAGGTTTCGGATACAAAGGTTCCAAATTCCATCGGATAATCCCAAATTTCATGTGCCAAGGTGGTGATTTCACTAAGGGTGATGGTACAGGTGGCAAAAGCATATATGGAGACAAATTCGCCGATGAAAACTTCATCTTTAAACATGATAAACCATTCCTACTCTCCATGGCTAATGCTGGACCTAATACTAACGGTTCTCAATTCTTCATCACTACTGTACCTTGCCCGTGGCTTGATAACAAACATGTTGTCTTTGGTCAAGTTGTCGAAGGTAGTGCAGTAGTCAAAAAGATGGAGAGCTGTGGTAGCCAGTCTGGTAAACCAACTAAAACATTCATAATTGATAATTGTGGAGAACTATGAGTATCATCACTGCCAATGTATGTTACTAATTATGAAACATTTATGGTATAATTAAAGCCATCACTATTATGATCTTTCTTTTTCATTGTGCTAGTAGGCTTTTCAGGGAATCTTGTATTGAGTCGTTTGGGCTAGGTGGTTTCAGTCACATAAGGAGGTAGACAGTATAGCTCGAGGAATGATACTTCAGAAATCGTTCTCTTCGTCACATCAGATATTTCGCTTTTTATATGACAGGACGACTCACTTCTCATCGCTTGCATCTGAACAATCTGTCCTAATTATCGAGTTACCGTTCAGCCTGCTTAGTCCATACGATAGCTTTTTAGCATTTCATGTTGTCGCTTTTTCGGTGGCGTGATAGCCGTTGGTATCAAGAAGGCTTACTGATGTTGCAATCTCGGATGACGAAATGGTAGCTGCGTAATTACCGAACTGACCACTAGACATGCCTGAAATCGTACCGTAATGATAAAAGCCAAGTCCTCATGATCCTAATGGTGGACTTATCCACCAAACGTTTGTGTACGAAACTAAATAAATACGGAGATTAATTGCGTAGGTCGCCTTCAAATGAACAAAATTCGATTTCCTAGAACGTACATTTTAAGGTCAGTCACACGTTATGGTACATAGCGTGTCGAGACCTTCACCGTATAGCCTCTCTGTTTCTAAGCCAACGCCTTGAAATGTCCCTTTATTTGCTGTGCCATCCTTGATATTTCGATATGTGCATGAAAACCAAAGTGCACCTGCAAGATTCGCTTGAAATCACAGCTGATCTGGGCTGCTTTAGAATTACTTGAATCGCCTAAAATCTGTCACGCACACAGACGGGTTAAGAAAAATTGGAATATCGTTCGTGGGAAGCGATTATAACAAAGCTCAAGCATTCATAGTCCACTTTAGTGATTTACATACCGGAAAGCTGTTCCCCTCTAATTGGGTTAAATTCACTCAGGAACCCGAAGTGTGAAATGGGATTGGTTAAGGTAAATCGTTAGGAATCGGTGAGCTATATCCGAGATTGTTGAAGAAACCAGTAAATTTCAGCGTATACTAGTGAAATCTATGATACCCAAGGTAGGATATGAAGTGACTAGAACTTTTCTGAGCAGAACTTGTTCGTAATGCGGTTGTGAGCATTTTAGGTAAGCTTGCTCGTAAGATGAATTTTAAGTGTCCAGACGGGAGCAAGACTCTGAGGAGCAGCATAGATTTAGGATAAGCTGTCCATGTCTCACAAAGCTGCCAGTATACGGTGAATGGTGGTGCGCTCACTACGATCAAAAGCTCTTTGCAAGTGTACCTATGGTTTGCTATCGAAGCTATTATAACAAAGCGACTTATGTTAATTGAGGGTCATACAGGTCCAACCACAACGGAGTGCCGGTTAACTTCTAGCCGTCTTGATATGAATCTTTAGTGCTGCGCTTCTGGGTATACCTCCGGGACTAGTGTATGCAGATGATGTTACTGTTCTCCTCACTTCATCGGTACTTGATAGTGAAATATCAAGATAAGGAAAGTGATAATAGACGGAACTAGAACATCAGAATGACTGGTTAGTCACAAGCACACGACGAGCTCCATCACCAACAGCAACGTAGAACTTTGCACGTAAGTACAACAGTTGAGGTGCCATACCACATTACCATCTAGATATAATTAGTAAAACTATTAGGGTTCGAAGCTGTTACTCAAGAATTATAGTTCAGTGAGGTAGATTTAGAAAGCGAAAGATGGAGGTGATGATAAATTTAGAAGGTTAGAATCTCATAGAACACAACGAGCTTTCTGTATTGGTGCTGCGATTTCGTTAGGCCATCAACACGGATGACACTTCGAAGATAAGTGAAGCGGTCAATGCGCTCAACCGCTTCACTCCCTTTCAATAGTTTAGGTACCGATGAAACCAAATCTTGAAGCAACAATTAGCATCCCGAACATGCTGGAATTGTTGCTCAGGGTACCCTGAAGACTGCATTTTGTCAGCGTCTTCACCGAATAGAACTACATCATCAGCAAAACATCCCCCTTATCTTCAAGACTAACTCTCCCTACATCCCTTTATCATCCCCACAACGCTGATGCAAATGATTCGAGTTCCCGGAACGCTATCTTTGGTCTCTTGTAACTTCATGTTGACGCTCTTCGTTTTCGAACCTTGTGTTAAATAAAGCAACAGGCTTCCCTAGCTAGGACTTCGAAATCTCGCACCATCGATGTATGCTGCGTCTACGAAACGCGCATACAAAATGCGAGTAAAAATCAACTATTTGATTTCATCATGTCCAGATGAAGAACTAAACCTCTATACGCCTCATGCATCTGAAAGCTCTGATGCTACTTCCCGTAACCTCACTGGTTCATTTATAGCTTTAAGTCCTAATGTAGAACTAGCTCTCCTAGACTGAATCCTCGTAGACAGTCCATTGTGTTCTGTCTGACTATATGGAACAGTAAGAACTCGAAATATAGGCACGTCTGCCGTAGGCTCTTCGTTGCTCCTGCTTACCCTCCCAATGACTGACTGCATTTCAAACGAGATAAAAGATGAGTTTTACAGAAACCACTCTAATCTCCTTCAAAAAGTTAAGCGCTTTGATAAAGTAATACTGACTGGTGACTTGAATGCTCAAGTAGGTAGACTCAGTGAAAAGGAAAGATACCTGCGTGGATCTTATGGTGTCGTGACTGATCGAACAGATACTGTCAACCATGACCAGATAACCGCCTTTTTCCATCAAACACTACCTTTCAGAGTAAGGAAAAACATCTGACCTGGCAACCCCCAAAGCCGACCCACCGATGGAGAGGTTCGATATAGGACTTTTGCTCATTCGGGGGCACACGTTTAGACTCGGATCATGCTCTAGTGAGAGCGCGTATTTGTTTGCGACTGACTGAACGTAAGAAAGACACCGTAAGGAAACCTCTCAGGGTTCTACTTGATGTAAAATACTTCTTGAATTATTTCTTCTGACCCTAATCTCCTTCATTACAGCTAATAATTCTACTACATCTACCACTATGGAATTTGAAATGATAATTGCATCTCTATGCTAATGTAGTATGACAACTTGAACTGATATGTACGTATCTATCAAGTTCTAAATTGTAACTGACTGACTACAACCCCATTTTAATGTTACGCCGTTTACCTCAAATGTAAGAGAATTTACCAATCTCAATTAGTCAAGTTTAAAATAACCCGAGGTGTCTGATTTGACAAAGTGAACAAAGTTAGATATTAACACCTTTAGATGCCGGCTCAGTGGCACGATGGTTAGGCGTTCGCGCGCAATACCTAAGGTCCTGGGTTCGAATCCCCCTACGGGGTGCAGGAGTCGTGGATGCGCACTGTCACTGAGGAGTCCCATACCAGGACGAAACGGCCGTCTTTCAGTGCTTCCAGGTTTCTACTGGTAGTCTAACATTGATCGATTCATGGTTTCAAAAATGTGAAACCTACATGAGTTGAAATCTCTCTTTATAAAATTAGTTCAGAATAAATTACGCCAATCACTAAATCGAATGAGTATTTTGCACACATGTAACAAGCAAAAAAATGTATTTTATTTAACTAAAAATAACAATAAAAGTGCTTACATTTTAAAGATTCAATTGAAATCAATTAATAACATATGCGTATAACCACTTTCTTTAACGTTACATTTTATTTACGTATATATCCTACTAGAAATGTATACACATTTTTTATAGACAAAGAAATTAATCAGACTAATCAATAAGAAAAGAGTAGGCAGATAATATTATCTAAATTGTTTGATGATATTCTAGTCATGTGATTTACACCTTCTAAGTGTAACGTACTGCTATTACAAGATTGGGAACAGCCTGAAACTAAACTCAGATAGAAGTAGTTGAAAAGTTTTGGTAGCTGGATAAATTGTGCCTGTGATGTGAGTGTTGAGATTCATTCACGTGTGATAAAGACCGGAGTTGATTATATTGATTTAGGCTATCATTTGATTTTGATCAATTTGGTCTCGTGTGCTGTTACGAATATGAGGGCGGTTGTCACTTCCCGGCTGCCCACACCGTGGAAGGTTGTTTCTTGAGGAACCTGAAAAAGGAAGATAGATTAACGTTGGTCTTAGAGACCTGGGAGCGTGACCGCAGAGCCCAAGGGACAACTGCTTGAGGCCGGTCACGCTCGGCCTTTTTATACAGAGTATTTTGAGTATTAGCTCCGCTCTTAAAAGCCCCTAGTGGGCACCCTTACCGCCTGAGACAGAAATCCGTGAGGTAAGGTGAAATGTGGCATTTTAGGGTCGACCTTTTCTAGCCCTTCTTTCCTTGTGAGTACGCAGCATCGCTGAAGATGCTGGTTTTCCGAGGGAAACACTTTACTGCTGTCACACCCCTCTGCAGTCAGCAGTACGACTTCGACCTATCATTTGGTATCTTCATAATATTAGTTTGCGTGTAAAAGGAATCAAGTCAATAATAATCATAAATAAATGAGAGCTGTTTCACTCTCTGCTTGTACATAAAACTTGACCTCTGTGTTCGATAATTATTTTCTGTGAAAAATTACTGACAATCAGTAACAATAGAAATGTGAATAATGAAGAGATTCAGATAATGGGACAATAATTCAGTGATTGTCACTAATTATTTTCATTCACCGATTTCAGTAGCCTGGACATGTACGATGAAGGTTGTCTCGGCGAATTCCACACAGTGTATTATTTGGAAACACTGGGATTGATTGGAATTAGTGAATAGGTGGTCATTGTAAGACATGGTGTCATGATTTGAAAGGAAATTGTACATACAGCGTTAACATCTGTTAGTCCTTCACAGATTCTTGGTTGCAGTTGTCGAATGATGTAACTCAATGACTAGAAACCTTATGATACATAGTAGAAGTGAGTGACAATCTATCTGTAATTTTCTCTGAATTTTTTCACATAAATGAAAAAAACGTCATCAACTGAACTTTCTATCCATAATGGTTATTATTACTTCACTCTCATGTACTAATTTCAGCTCATTTCATTATATGCCCACCATTGTTTCCATGTTGATCAATTACATCTTT